ACAAACATCCCTATGTAATTAGTTAATCAAAGTATAGTTTAATTTATTTACGGTCAGTAAATACTGTTTCAATTTTTTGTCATAATTAATAGGACCCACTACCTATTTGTATAGAGGATAAAAATAGTCATCCAAAGATTTTTATATAATTTTATTCAAAATCAAATTTATCTCTTCTATTCTCATCCCATATCTTTCTGCTAAAATTACTCTTCCTTTCTAATTTGAATTTCGATTGAGAAATTTTTGACCTTCTTCCTCCGATGTTCTTTCACTTTTCGCAGGTAACCGCTAAATTCACGGCTTTCAATATTTCTTTTTCTTAATTCCTTCTTCAATAATTGTATATGTAGTATGATTGTTAGTTTTTTCATTTTTTTAAAAAAAAATATTTATTAGTTATCAAATTACAAGTCTTTCGAAATCAGAATTGATGATTCCTCTCCATCTATGAGGATTACGAGAGGTATGTCATTGCATGTCAATGTTGTTGATAATCCACATTCATTTCATTGGGTTAACCAGGATTTTGGGGTTAATGTAGGGTTTATGGCAAAACATAAACAAGTTCAAGTTGAACAATCTATTGAATAATTGAGATCCGTGAAAAAAGAATAATCCAATGACAATTCATAAAGTCATCAACAACGAGAAATCTAGCGGCATTAAGATTGTTAAAGGTGGAAGTAAGAGAAAATCCATAAACATTGATTCAGAGGAAATTGAATCTGCCTCATCAGAACTGGACAATTCTGAAGAATATCGGGAACATCAGGTAGTGTAATTTATATACAAATTAAAAAGTTATGTATATAGTGGGTTGTATATTAAGGTAATATATACAAAGTATTATGAGACAGTTCTTAATTGTATATTCTATTAGTTTTATACCAATTACTAAAGTTAGGTATATAGTGGGTTGTATATTAAGGTAACATATACAAAGTCTTACAAGGCAATAGCTATTTGTACACAATTATTTAATTTTGTATAAAATAAATTTGTTAAAATCACTTTATTATAAATATACAAATTATAAAACATTATACAAATTCGTCGATATATACAAAAAATTATGAACATAATAAAATATTGTATATATAAACATTACACACTCAAATATACAAACAGATTTCAAGCTTACTATATATACAATTAACAAATGAATATTATACAATCAGTTTAATCATTAATATTTTTTTTAAAAGAAAAAACATGAAATCATGAATGCACATATATAACTATAATATATATACCAAAATTATTGCACATTATACAAATTCCTTATTATATACAAAAGAAAAAATATGAACATAATAAAATATTGTATATAAACAGATTACCCAAAAAAAATTAAAATAATACATAATATGATGGTCATATATAGTTACACAAAATCAATTATACACAAATATTGTATAAAAATTATATACAATTTCTCAAATATATACAATATAATCAATTTATATATGTGTATATATATATATATATATATATATATATATATC